TGTGTCTTTGGTGTTCTTCATTCTCCTTTACTCCAGGTGGTTGGGACCAACTGACGCATCTTAGATGGCCACTTGCTACTTTTAAGACCCCAGACGCCACTCACCAAAGTAGGATGCAGAACATTTTCGTAATAAACTTTGTTATGCCAGTTGACCTAGATGTCCCCAGAAAGCATGGTCCCCAGACCCCCGCCCCTGCTACTCTGTCCCTCGAAGTGTTTGATTGTATTCAGGAAACTTCATAGCTTTCCCTACCTACTTTTCTAGCTATACCCTTTCTTTTTACCTTCCATACGGCCTCCACTCCAGCCACACTGAATGACTAGCCTTCTTCCCCAAAGGCTCCATCCAGTTTGAATGCCTTTGCTCATTCCTCTTCTTCTTTGCCTAGACTGCTTTCTGCTCTGCCTGTCACCCCAAGAAACCTCCAAAGCCTACCTGGACCCTCTCCAATCTGAAAATCAGATCCAATTAATCCTAATCTCATTTTGGCACTCATACCTCCACCATGGTTCATGAATACATCTGCTTAATATTCTAGTTGGATGTGCACATGATTCCTCTCTCCACTAGATCATAACTTTCTTGAGGGCAGGGAACATGCCATTCAGTTCAGTTCAGTATTTATTGAGCACTTACTGTGTGACAGCCACTGAGGATACTGAAAAGAATACCAAACAGTCCCCGTCTTTGAGGAGCTCCCTGTCAAATGCCCTTGACAATACTGTGTATGAAGTGCTTTAACACAGATGAGGGGGGTAGGAGTGCTCAGTAAGTTGTGTGTGTGTTGGGGTCAGGGTCAGAGGGAGGAAGGTATTTATGCTTATGCCTTCTGCTTCCCAGTCTATTCATTCCAATCCCCGGCCCAATTTTGAAACTGATTTGAACAAAATAATCTGTAAAAAAAAAATTTTGAATTTTTCCATTTTATATTAATAGAAAATATAACTGCCAAGGAGAATGCCTCATCACTATGAAATACCCAATGTGACCATGTTGAATCCACCTAATGCTAGCAAATTCCACCTGATATTTTTATTTATCTAAGTAGCCCCAACATGGGTAAACATACCATTTAAAATTTTGGGCTTTTCCAACTTTATGGAACCTCAGGGTTCCAGGGAACTTATTTTTAGATTCATTAAAAACTCTACTAAAACCCTGGGATTTTAAATGGGCATATAAAAGCTTACTAGGCCAGACTATTTTCCTTATGGGACTTAAAACAGGTGACTTAACAGTAGACATGGCCCAAATCACATGACAAAGGCAGGATTGTAGCTTTCAGCTGCCCCTCAGAGTGAGTGCATTTCACGTGTCTGGTGAGAAAACCTTTTTTAGAGCCCTAAGTGAACCCATTTTTTCCAGGATTTCACTGATTCCTCCCAATTTTACCTCCTAAAAATCACTAAAATCGGTCCTCTCACATCTCCATCCCTGCCTTATGTCAGGTTCCCTCATTGTTTCTCACTAAGGTTTCTGCAACAGCCCCCTGGCCTGTAGCCTTGCTTCTCTCCAGGCTGCCAATCCTCCTCCACACTCAAGCCTTAGTTGTTAACCTGACCATGTCACACCAAATTAAGTGGTTTAACAGCATCCCATCAGCTACCTAAAGAATAAAAGCTAACTTAGCTGGATAGACAAGGCCCTCTTGTAGCTTAGAATGCCCACCTCTCCTACTCACCACCTTAAATTGAATACTTCAGCAATATCTAACAGCTTGCATCTCCATGTTCAAACCACGCTGTTTCATGCTTCCATGTTCCTACTCATCTTCTTCCTTCTATCCGGAATTCCAACACCATCTTATCCAGCTCTTCTTCTTTTGCCTGGCTAATGCCTCCTCATCCTTTAAGCCTTGGGATCTCCCAAAAGCTGTCCTTGACCTACCCCCGTCCTTCCACTGACTCCTTTGTCCTCCCAGGGTAACATAGACATTGCTCTCTTTTGTGCTGAAACTTCTATTGTGTTTGTCTTTTGCAAGCTCAAAAGCACTGAGCAAACTGCATGGCAGAGAACATAATAAAATGTTGGCTGAATTCTATAGATACCATCATTAAGTCCTGCCCACCATGTTCCAAAGACTCCTACTCACCTGTACTTGTGAATGCAACTGATCCATCTTCTGCTGCTGCTTCTCTACAACCTGAAAAGTCATCAAGGAAGGCACAAGAACAATGACAATGGTGAGGTCAGATGGAAAGACCCTGCACCAAGAGCTGTAGCTTGGCGATTAGCCCCGCCAGCTACAGCCCATTGGTAGTGAGACCGAGGTGAAGACTACTTAGCTCTACTTACAGAAATATGACACAGATTCCCCATCCTGACTGACTAGCCTCACACTACTGTGCTCCAATCATAAAGAGGCTTATAGAAGAATGTAGTGTGGACCCATCACCACTATTGGTGGTGGGAGAGGAAGAGAGGGGACACTCACCCTAATGACTACAAGCCAGTGAAATCAATTTTATATACAGCCAGTGCACATTCTGTTCTTTGGTAAAGGACATGGCTAAAAATTCAGTTTAATGAAGCCCGCCCTATCTAGGGTGGTGATTGTTGTTGTTACTGATAGCTTTAGTCACACTGACTGTCCAAGAAGAACCCCTAATAGGCCTGGATTCATTTTTTTTGAGCCTTCATCAATTCTCTGAACCATTTCTGGGTTTTCTTGTCTGCTGACCTGCAGTCAGTCTCACTGGAAGGCCCTTGGCTCCCTTTTCTCTGCCTCGTTGAGAAAGCAGACCACCTTGCTGGTTAGAACTCTGCCAGTGCAAGAGATTCCGTATAGGGCCTGAGCCACGAGTGAAGTGCTCCAAGCTTCAGTACACCATTTTGGGGCATCTATGCTCAGAGGCATGTTCCCCCACTAACTTGTGCCTGTATTCTACATGAGTAAACTCTCCCTGTCATAAGGATAAATATCTAAAATGCAAAGGGTTGACTTCTCAGGAAAGAGAGAAAAGCTCTAGATAGCAGAGCCCAGGTGGCCCTGGGCTCTCATGTTTCTTCCCAATACACTATCTTCTCTTTTCTCCCAGTCTGCTGGCTGTCACAGCCTGGACACCCACAGTCACCTTTCGGAGAGAATCACATTCCTTCTGCCAGGACTCCATTTCTACAGTCGGACCTTCTCCCTGTTGGACTGGACATTCTCCACCAGCCTTCTTCACACACTGCTTATCTTGCAGGCTGAAAGACAGTGGCCTTTCAATGTGCCACTGATTACCTACCCAAGGCTCTTTCCTTATTTGTTTTGATGTTTAAAAAATAAACATTCATTGCATGTATTTAGATTACAAAAATCACACATGTTCACTGTAGAAATTTTTGAAAGTACAAAATAGAGCTTCTTTTTTCTAGGCACACATAGCTGGGGCGGAGCCAACTTTGTCTTCTAGCCTCACTTCTGACTCCAATCAATGGTCTCCTCCTACAGGTCCCCACAATTACTTCCATCATGGCCCATCTGCTGAGATAAACAACAGGGTCATTGCAGCTGAATATGGGATGATACATCCAATCCATCCCATTAGAAACTGGATTTGGTCCAAGAAGCTACTGAAACATAGCTATCACATTTTCAGAAACTATCAATATGGAAACCAGGTGCCTAATGGAGTAGGCTACCAAGACACCCTGAGAGTACACTATGGCATCCTGTTTTGTTCTCAAAACCTGTCATGGTAATCGAGAGCAATCCCTAGGGCTGAAGACAAACAGATGCTCCTGGTAACCTTTAGCTTACAAGGTTGAAATGTGAATAACCCCTACTCCTCAGCTCGAGGATCTACTTTTACAAATATAAATACCTCGTTTCCCAGTTTATAAAGTGCTTTCATTCACTCAACACAGACATACTCAAGGATTATTATGTGCCAGGCACTGGGTTGGATTTTTCCAAAGGATACAGTAACAAGCCCTGCAGCTCTACCCCTACCCCTCCCCAGGTACCAAAGACATATTTATTCCCGGTCCATAAGAAGCTTTCATAGTATTTACAATCTAAAGAAAATGAAGCTCAGAGAAGTAAAGTGATTTACCCAAAGTCACACAGGTAGTGTGGAGGGTAGCCCAGACTAGAACTTAGCTCTCCACTTCCTTTTCCTCAACCCCACAGCAGTATTTACCTTTGTCTAGTGGCTTCTCTCTGTCTCAGGCTTTCCAGTTGAGCCTCCTTTTCCCTGCAGGCTACCTGGGTCTCCTCCAGCAAATTCTCCAGCTCAGTTACTCTCTCCTGCAGCTCTGCACTCCTCGACTCAGAATCCTTAAGCTGAGAGACAGGATCCCATGCTTAGGTCAACAAGCCAAGGAAGACTTTGTCTGCGTACCTCTAGAAATTTTCAGTCCAGTTGAAAATGTGACAGATGTGAGTTTGGACATGGCTCCCTTGGGGTTTTCTTTTAAGAAGCCACAGGATAACTGCATACAGCAGATGCTGACAAAGTTCCCCTGCTTGGCCACTCCCTGCTTGCCCCAAGTATGCCCAGACACTGCTGCTACCTGCTGGCTCTGCTTCTGATGGTCTTCCAGGGTGGGCAGGTCAGCCAGGTAGCGCTCCAAAGTTTCAATACGTTGCTGCTTCTCCCGGTTCTGCTCCGATTCCTTCTGACATTTCTTTTTCAGATTATTGATGTGTTTATCACGACCTTTGACCTTGAAAAAGAAATGTGAAGAGTCTGTCTCCACTGGCTCTGATCTGGGACCATAACATCAACGTTTTTCAAAGTGACCACTGTCTCTGCCCTTGGAGCTGTGGATGTTGTTCCACTGCAGGAATGCAAGAAACTCATCAAATTTTGCCATTTGGAATTAGGGCATGAACTTCAGAGTTCACAAATCTACACTTTCCAGTCAAGGGCAGGGAAGAATGGCTCCTTGGGCAGCCTTAAAGAATTGGTAGCACTTCCCTCCAGACATAAAACCAGTCTGGTCAGTTCTGGTGAAAAGGTAATGCATTCTTCCCTAAACACCACATGCAGTAAAAAGCCAAGCAATCATCTGGAAGGGCTAATGAGACTGTAAGCTCCTGGAGGGGAGGGGCTGTGTCCATTTTGCACTTCCAGCACCCAGCACAATGCTTAGCAGAGAGCATATGCTCAATAAAGATTTGCTGAATGGAGACTACTTCTTCACTATTACAGCTTTTTCTCTGGCTTATGAAAAAAGGAAGCTGGGGGAAGAGAAAGCAGAGAAAAGCTGAGGCAGATCCACTGATGCCAAAGAGGAGGCACAGGCCCAATTTAATCCAAAGGTAAGACAGTACTAAGAAAGATCCTTGAAAAAAATCAGCCAAAAGCTTTATCCCAGATATATTTATCTATACCCTTCAAGCTCTGAACCAGTTAATACTCACATTTTAATATGCATCAGAATCACCTGGGAAGTTTATTTAAAATGCTGACAACCAACTTGGAATTAAAAAAGTGGTAAACTGACCCCCAGATGTTTATCCCCTCCAAAACATCTCTAAATGACAGGAAGGAAATAAAGTATTAACCTAAAAGAAAAACAGAGAACAGAGCAGCAGACAAAAGCAGATGCGGGAGTTCAACATGTTTTTGAAAAATTAAAGTGGGCAAAGGGGGATAACTGACTTGGCAGAGCCGAAGAAGTTACAATCTGCAGTGGGAGTTACAGATAATATGGAAGATAATGTGCCTCTCACAATTCCTGAGAGACTCTGCACTTGAAGTACCAGATACCTCTGGAGACAGATATCAGCCACAGACCTGAAAAACGGGGGGATTCACTGGAAATCTACATACTGGTTAGCCAAATACTGCCCTCACCCTGGTCTTCCCCAACATGAGACTGAAGATTTATTCTCTGGAGAAATCAAATGACAGAGGCTCAGACTCAGGGATATCAGTCACAGCAGAGGGAGAGGGTGGTGAAGCAATGAGGTTAAAAACCAGTGTAAGTGAAAATCTATGTATAGACTGTGGGACTTAAGGACCAATCTCCTCATTACTGAGACCAGAAAGCCCAAAGCATTCCTGCCCCCAGCCTCCTTGCCAGGCAACAGGTTGAAGAGTCTTTTCTACAGAAAGTGAGATAAGACATCCAGATACTGACATTTGAGGGTCTCCAATGAAATAGGCAGTCTAGGTCTGATCACCCTACAGTGAAGTTCAACAGGCAACTACCACGACCCCAGAGCTTCCATGCAGCTTTTAAATATGTGTCCACTCATTCCAGGATCACCAAGCCTCGACATGAAAAACACCAAAACAAACACACACACAAAAAAGGGACCTGAAGGAAACATAAGCAGAAGTAGACATCCAAAAAAGCTATAACCAATATCTTCAGAGAGGATAAAATATTGTATCCATGACTCAAGAATAGATATTTAAAATTGATCTAAAAATGGAAGAAAAGCATATTGTTCAGAAATACAGAGGTATGTATCAGGGAAAAGAGAAAAGTTGAGAATGGATACCTTTTGTGGTGTGGGGCTGGGGCACAGACTACCACTTCTCATTATAAACCAATTAGTATTCAATTATTTAGCTTAGATATATATATTATTTTTATAAAAATTTTGCTTTTTAACAAGCCCTCTAAGTCCTTGCTGGACCCACACCACTAACATCTCACTGGGGAGCTTGTTAGAAATACAGGATCTTAGGCCCCTCCCAGAACTACTGAATCAGGATCTGCATATTTAACAAGATCCCCAAGTAATTCTTAAGCACATTAAGGTTTGAGAAGCGCTGCTCTAGTTAATTTTGATGCCAGTGGTCCAGAATTAAACATTACTAAACTGATTTCCCCAAGAAATCCTTCATTACAACAAGCTGTAAATTGGAGGTACTATCAGAACCAAAGATTTTAAACCAGCTTCTTTTATGACGACCAATCTTACCCTAGGGCAATTCTAAGAGTGCTGGCAAAAATAAAAACTAACTGCACATGTGGAATTGTCTTCTACTTTTTAGATAGGGTGAGGAGAAACTCAGCTAAATGATGTAAATTTGACACAGGTGTTTAAACACCTTGCAACAGTGCCATCTAGTCTGACTGTCCAGGCTGGTTTTCCACCCAGGCCAGCTGGTGGCATATCACAATCTGGGACAGTGAGGGATTATTTAACTTTTCCTGACTGTAGTAGCTTTGTAGGGAAGAAGCAGAAAGGAGGAATTCCATTTCTAGCAGACAGATCTTGAGTGAGAAGCCCAGGAAGGGTCTTACCCAACTGGCTACTCCTAGTTCTGGAAATGTAGGCCAGAAACAGCCTAGGCTCATGCAGGAGAGGTCTGACTCATCTCTGGCTGGTGCCAACTTCTTTGTGAATCAGAGATACCAGCTTCTCAGCTCACCCTTTCTTCCTGTTTCTTCCCCTCCTCGGAATGCTTCTGCAGTGCCGCTTTGAGTGACTCTCTGATGAGCTGGACTTCAACTTCTGAAGCACAGAGTTTCTTTTCAAGCTCGATCTTTTCTTTGCTTAAGGCTTCTGTCTTCTGTGCAAACTGTGCACGTAAGAAAGTGTTCTCTCGCTGCAATTCCTGCCAGAAAGATTCTCAATATATAACTGTTACCTACCCTCACAATCTCATATACTTTACTCCCTCCCAGCACAGTTTGTGGTCAAATACACTCTTTCTCCAGGAATTTCTTAAAACAGTGGTTCTCAAAGTCTGGTCCTAGGACTTACAGCATCAGCATCACCTGGAAATTCGTTAGAAATGCAAATTCTTGGGCTCAACTCCCAGAACACCCACTGAATCAGAAACTCTGGAGATGGGTCCCAATAGTCTGTGTTTTAACAAGCCCTCTAGGTGATTCTGATGCACGCTAAAATTTGAGAACCACTGACTTAAAACAATAACCTGAGAATCTTCATTATCGTTATAATGCAAGAAACATAGGACAAGACATCAGAAGACCTGGGCTCAAGGCCTGGTCCCCCTCCACTTTTTCTCTTTATGATCTTAGGCAGGTTCTTCCTCCTCTTTGGGCCTCGATTTTTTCATCAGAAAAATTAGAGGATTGAACTAGATTTTATCTAAGGGCACTTCCAACTCTAACATTCTGATTCTGTGAGATGAATACTGTCTTAACAGGCCCAGGAGCAGCGGTGGATGACCCAGTAAGCAAACTGAAATTGTTCACAACAGATTAGTAAGTATGCACAAGTAAATCCGTACTTACCTTGCTTACTGGGTTATCTGCCTCTGTCAGGGACTGTAAATTGGAAAAGAGGCTTTGATTCTGTAGGAAGGTGCTGTGGGGTTGGGAGGGAGACAGATGTCAGTCACATCTAGAAGTGTAATCATTGATGTGGTGAGAAAATGTGAAATTGTTCACTACAGATGATCTGGTAAACAAGGTAAGCACCATGATTACCTTGCTTATTGGATAATCCTCCCCTGCCCAGGAGGTAGCAAAGTCAGTACTATAATTTAATACCCATTCACTCAAAAGCCCAAATTGCAGAAGCTTGGTCAATAAAGTAGACTTCTTTTCTATTCTCAACCATCACAGCCATTTACCTCAATGTGTATACGGCTCCTTCAGTTGCTCCTAGACATGGAGGAATAAAAATCAGAATGGCTCTAAATCCCCCATCATCTTTGCCTCTCCCTCCATTTGGCCAGAGTTGGCAGAGTACAACTTCTCAGAACATCACCCTACTCTAAGGCGTTACTATCTACCCTTGCTCTGCCTTCCTTCTCGCTCAAGAATGTCTTGACACCAAGGCACCGGGATTTTCACCTGATTCTACCCTTAAGCCTCTTCTGTCCCTGCAAGGGCACAGAAGGCAATGCCTTATAATTAGGATGTTTACTCTTTGAGGGCAGGGACACCTTACATCACTTGGTCCCTTTTGTATCTTCTGGATACCTAATTGTGCCAAGCACTGGGAAGGCATGAGTTATGATAAGCAGAATGCCATCCTGGCTGACAACACTTACCTGCAGCCTCAGCAAGCAGACATCCCCAAGGGGGGCAGGGCGGCCCAAAAGGGCACTGTGGACTTGTAGTTCACTCTCTCGCACTTTCTGCTCCAGCTGCGAGATGTGCTTCCTCTGTCTGCAAAAGGCAGTAGAATCAGGTCCAGGGTCCTAACACTAACCCACTTGCAATATAAGCCCTTCCCAGTTTCCTTAGAGGGGCCCTGGTAGCACAATGGTTAAGTGCTCAGCTGCTAACTGAAGGGTTGGTGGTTCAAACCCACCAGCCGCTCCACGGGAGAAAAGACCTGGTGATCTGCTCCCATGAAGATTTACAAACCCTATGGGGCAGTTCTACTCTGTCCTATAGGGTTCAGTATGAGTCAGAATCGACTCCATGGCACACTACAACTTTTCTTAGCCAGGTTCTTCCTAAAATGGGTACAATCCATACTATGTAAGCAAAGACCCTGGATTCTGAGCAGCACTGTTTTGCTGAAGGAGGACGAGCAAAGGTCAAAGCTGACTGAGGGGGTGTGAGGAAAGATCAGCTGCAATGAACCAGCTGCCCCCTTCAGGCACTCCCTAGGGCCACTGCAGAGATACACAACTGGCCTATCACATTAGTCAGACACAGGACTCGGCTGCTTATCAACCCAGCTCTACCATGAGGCAAGGCTTGGGCATAAACAGAGGGACATGCACTGCCCTTGGGAAGACCTCATTAGGTGCCCCCAGTGGGAGCTGGGAGAGCAGAGGCTGACCCTGTGGCACCCCTTGCCCTCTTACTTGTCAATGAGGAGCTCCTTTTCCTTCAGGAGGTGTTCATTACTGTTCAAGATGCTGATCCACTGTGCTGGCTCCAAGGTGGGCAGCGAAGGAGCAAAAGAAGTGGGATGGTGGCAAATGGCTCCATTCTGAAGCTGAAAGACAAGCAGGCTCAGGAGGTGGCTTGATCTTGACCTAGAGGCACCTGACAACACCTAAGCGGTTCGCAGTACCCAGTTCTGCAATCAGACCCAGTTTGGCTCAGCCTGAGAAGGCCCAGTGTTTATGAAATAATTTTAGCTCTGATACATGACTGGAAAGAACCTGCCAGGGAGGCTTCTGCCAACTGGACACTCCCTGCTCAGAAAGGCTCTAGTTTCTAAGAAAAGGTCAGTTATCTTTCATTATCTAGTAATAGAGGCAAACCAGGCGCGAAGATGTCCTTACCAGCCAGGGGAGGAGAGTATGTCCTTTTTGTTCCCTTCCTTCCCACTCTGCAACAGTACAAGGACCTTTTTTTGTTTTGTTTTGAACACAAAAATGGTATAGTGGAAAGAACAAAGGGGTTAAAGAAGATTTTTAAACCCTAGCTCTGCCGCATACTAGCTTTGTGGCCCTGGACATGTTACTTATTCTAAGAACCTGGTAAGTTTGTACATTTACCTCATCAGGGTGCTATGAGGATTAAATAAGACTGTGTGAAAAAGTACCTTGCCTAGTGACTGGTATTCAGTGAGTACACAATTACTGTCAGTACCCCACCTTTCTCTCATAATCCCCTACCTTGGAGAACCTATCTGCTGTTTAATTAGACCACCAACAGACTGAATGGTCAATAGCCCACAAGTCTTCATTTCCTTCAACTTCCTTCATTCTTAAAAATATTTTCTTTAGAGCCAAAATATATAGGACAAAGGCTATACAGTTATAAGATCTGCACAGAAACTGCAAAATCCAAGGAAAGAAGAGCCTCTACCTGCATTTGCTCCATTTGTAAACGGATCAACTCCAGCTGCTGCCGACAAGTGCTAAGTTCACAGGATCGCTCACGGGGATGCCAAGGGTCAGGATTCGGCAGCCATACCTGAGAGGGTAGAGGTTTGGAGAGGCCAGGAGCAGGCTGGAGTCCCAAAGGAAGCACCCCACTGCTGCTAGGGTGTGGTCCATTCCGCTCACAAACTGCCCCGCTGCCTGGTGCCTTCTTGGCCTCCGGCAACACTTTGTACAACTCCTTGTTTGTGTCAGTTCTTGGATTGTGGAAGTGGACTCGGTAGTGGGGATCTGAATAAAGTGTCTCCATTATCGTCGACTGATTGAGGGTAGACTCCATGCTGGGAATATCAAACTTCCTCACCTCTTTCTCTCTTTCATGGCCCACTGCTGGAAACCAGGACTGCTCAATTGCATTTTCTCCAGCAGCACCACAGAGATACATTAGATCTCTAGACAGACCTGGAGAACGTTTCATTGCACTGAGGTCTCCATTTCTTGTCATCCCCACACTTTCAGCCGACCCTGACAAAGGAAGTTTGGAGCAAGAGGGTCCAGCAGGCATAGAATTTGGCTTGGCAGGAGAGGTCCCCAAAGTAGAAGGCATCACATGGGCTGTTGGAATGGTTACGTGGTTTTTGATGGGCTGGAAAGAAGGGCTGCCACTTGAGCTGCAAAAATCTGTGAAGAGAATAGTCTTCCATAAGTCAAAACCGAAGCAGTAAGATTTCTTGAGTTTGGCTGCTATGCCAGAGGTTCTCTGCCTGTCCTGAGACCAGGCAGAGGGCACTATCATTAGAAGTTATCAGGCAAAAAGACACGGCAGCCTAACAGGGAGATGTGTGTTCCAGAATCTCAAATGACATTCACAAAGTAAAACCAACAAAAGGTAACCCTAGCTTCACTTTTAGCTTATACTTTGTCCTTTGTACTTGAGTAAAAAATCTTGGCAGTCAACAAACAAAGCTGGAAACCAAACTTTTTAAAAAACCACTTACTTAAGGGAAATGGGTTAGGTCCTACTCTTCTGGAAGATGGACAACTCTGAGCTATAATCCAATCTAATAATACCCTTTCCAAGGGCTGCCAGAAGTCTCTGTGACCTCCAAAGATCCCCAGTGAAGGTGAACAATGAATCTCAACTATCCGAAGAATAAGACGAACGGGATAGTCTTGCTCAGTATCCAGGGCAGGGAATATGGCATCTGAGTCAGGATTCGGTTCTCTCTCCCACACCCCAGACCTGATGCCTGGATATGAAGTTATTCTTAGTAACTCTCAGGTTTCACTCTAGCACAGTGAGCACGCTCAAGTGGGAACACACTGAAATCCACTATTTCATATTTTGCCTTTCACTTGTTCCCTTGTTTGTATTCATCTCTGATTTTTAACTTTTCCTTCAAATTGGATTTACGTTTCCTTTGACTCCTGCCTGGTCTTGGGAGATAACTCTTTGATTAGCCCTGCTGCAGAAGGTTCACATTTCTACATATTTTCAACTTTCAAGTGCTGCTCTGAGGAACACTAGAAGGTCACAGAACTAAGGTGCCAGGGTAGTGGGCTGCAAGCAAACAAGACAGGAATATGGTGTAACATAACCTGTTACCTTCAACAAGCAGAAAACTGAGTAACAGGACAAAGAACATAAATTTCTTTCCTTTTCCAGTACTCTTTTCCAAACCAAACACATTTACCATGAAGAAGAGTGGACCACCAGTTCGTTTCTCTGTTTTCTTAGCTAACATAGAGCACACTCAGCTAACGAGGTGACAGATACTATAACCTTTCCCAAAATTGTAAGTATAGACCAGCTACCATCTTCTCATTAGGGTTTGTAAGCAGGTCTTTAAAAACACAGACAAGTCAAAATATCGTTTATAATGTATGCAGAGTACTTAATTTCCTCTTGCGGGTATATAACAGGCTACACCTTTAAAAAAAAAAGAAAGAAAGAAAGAAAGAAAAAACCCACACACAATAATTTCTGATAGCATGCCTCAGCCCCTCAGGACCAAGAAAGAAGGCAAACCCAGAGTCAAGGAACACATTCTTTGGTGTCCCACAACTTAAATATAAGACCAGTCAACAGGGCTAAGGTGGACTGGTGGCGGTGTAGACTTTCAAGACCAGTAAGATTTCTACTTGTAATTCTCCATAATAGTACCCTAATATCACTAAGGGTCCCTGCTCCCATAATGTAATTATGGAACGGGAGACAGTGAGGTAGTGGCATATGAGGGGCTGCTACTGTGCTGGATTTAGAAACATCACCTTCCATTCTCCATCCACAGCACCACTCTCTCTAGACTCAGCAAATGCAGTTTTGATTCTATAACCCCTGTTATGGATTGAATTGTGCCCCTCCAAAATATATGTTGGAATCCTAACACTTACCCCTGTGGATGCTGCTTAATCCCATGTAATGTAGTCACCTTCTTTAAAGCAATCTAATGTTCAATCAGTTGAGGTCATACCAGTGTATGTGTCTTAAACCTAATCACTTCAGAGCATATCAGACACAGAGGTAAGCATAAACAGGGGAAGAGAGATGCCACATGAAGACCAAAAAATGGAGGAAAACCAGGGCTACAGAAGCTGAAAGAGACTTGGATCTTCCCCAAGAATCAACAGAGAGAGTCTCCCCCTAGACCTGGTGCCCTGAATCTGGACTTGCAGCCGCTGAACTGTTCTTTAAAGCCACACACTTGTGGTATTTCTGCTACAACAGCACTAGGAAACTAAGACAACCCCCCAAAGTAATAATGCCAAAACCAAAGCCAAGAAGAAAAGCACCAGCTGACCCAGGACAATATGGTCTTTCTAATTTTCTAATGGGTATATATGTAGATGATGGAATAAAGTAAAGTTTTTGTCTCTACTTCACTGTCAGCATTTGTCACTTGTCTGTTGGGTTTATCTATATTAAGGAAACTGCCTGATTCTGATTAACTGTGCCATACTCTAAAAATGTCAAGTTATACCTTAAGTCTGGTTTGTGTTTTAGAACATTTTGAAACAAAATGTTCTACAGTTTTCAAAGGCATTCAAAATTTAGTATATGGGTTATGTGATTTTTATTTAGAGACGTCTATAGTTCACAAAATTGTTAGATGTTTGTAACTTTAAGACATATTTCTAAATTTCTCCTCTCTCCCATCATACCCTCTGTCCCCTCTCCACAAACAACAACAAATCCTTTCTTTAAACATTTCTAGCAACCCTCTTTTCTTGGTAAGGAGTAAATTCCACTATTGCTAAATCTGGATCACTTCTGCCTACATCCCTTGTTGGCTTATGAAGTATGACAGTCTGAACTAAAAAAAAAAAAAAGCCCGAACTTGTTACCGTGGAGTTAATTCCAACTCACAGCAACCCTAGGACAGAGTAGAACTGCCCCATAGGGTTTTCAAGGCTGTAAATCTTTGCGGAAGCAGACTGCCACATCTTTCTCCCACAGAGTAGCTGGTGGGTTTGAACAGTTGATCTTTCAGTTACCAGCCGAGTGCTTAACCACTGTGCAACCAGGTCAGTCTTTAGTAAAGAGCTAAAAGCATTCTGAGCTCTTCAGGATCCACTGCTACCCTGTCCCTTGAGAAACTTCAAGGTAAAACACCTTAGTGAGGGGTGGGATCAAAAGAAAACCTGTTCGATTTAAAGATGCAATAACAAATTATATTTTATACCAATCTTAAGTGTTCTTATCAACTAGGCTCCAAATAAATAAGCAAGAGTCAAGATTAAGATAAAAATCACAGTATATAAGAAACACAGCAGAGAAGACACCTTGGATCCTTAAAATAAACTTCTAGACTAGTGGGATTGGCCACTATCTTAAGGCAACTATAATTTAAAAAGATTGTATTACAAAGGAAATACATATATCCCCAAAGGAGTAAAAAGCAAATGAAGTCACATATACAATCAGTGCAATGATCTGATTAAATTAAATAAGCCAGTCAAAATGAAAAAGGTCCCACGACTACACATGTGGACAAAATCTTCATAAGTTATAACTAAATTGACAGTAACACTTTTGATTACACAAGCAATGGAAAAATATATAGTCAGGAGAAACATTTTTGATTACACAAGTGATGGAAAGAATATACAGTCAGGAGACCAGATTCTGATAACTACCTGTGTGACATTAGGCAAATTACTTAACCCCTCAGAGAATTTTTGTTATTCACCAGCAAAAAGAAGGAGCTGGAATAAGTTGATTTTTAAAGTCCTATCTACCTCAAAATGATTTAATCCTACTCAGTATTTACTGATATACACACAGTTGTTGAACTACTAAAATTAAGAGCCAGGTGTTTAGGAATCAATATTTAAAAAAAAAAAAAAAAAGCCATCCTGTCGATTCCGACTCATAGTGACCCTA